AGAGATGAATGTTGTTTACAGCATGCATAAAAGGAACAGAGGACAGGCTTGAAGAAATCTTGTTATTATTATTTCTGGTTTTCTGTGCAATTCTGCCACTTATATTTACAATGCCATGCAAGAGAGGCAGGTGGTTCCTATGAAGCAAGGCTTTCCTGAGGACTCTCCTAGGCAAGCAGATGACCAACAGGCTGTCCAATGCTTTTCCCTTTCACAGAGCCCCTTACCTGCACTGGCCCCCACCTGTGGGTCTAGACAGACCTGTGAGTTAGGTGGAGGCAGTTTCTCCTTCTATTCTTTTAGCACTGTATAGTTTTCCACTTTTCATTGTAGTTCTTTTTGTTGTGCCTCTACTCCTTGTAGAGTTTGTCTTGTGGAGGGCAAGGATTATGTATGACTCATCGTCAAGGCTCTCATATGTACTACAGCGCCGGACGCCCACAGGTGCTCAACAGATGTTCATTGTGTAAATGAAAGAATGAAAAGGAACAAATGGAGGTAAGAGTAGGCCCCCACTTTAAGGAAACATGGAAGACAAAGAAATGTCAACAAACAGACAGAATGGGCGGTGGATCCACCCCCCTGGTGAGGCAAGCTAGACAGGGAAAGTTTAGGCCTGACTTAGAGCACCCCACTCCACCCCTCCTGACCCGAGAGCTCCATTTCAATTGCAAATCCTTTGTTGGACTTAGGGTACAGGAGAATTAGCATAGGTGTATGCAGGAGATTTCCCAGATCCTCCCCTGGGGCCCAAAGGCCATTGGAGATGGAGAGTGATGTGGATTTTCTCCCCACCTCCAAGTTAAGGATGATATAAAAACGACCTAAAAAAATCGTTCCCTTCTTTTTCCTGCATGAGGTGCCTCCATTTCATCTGGCAGGGATCCCACCTGTAACCCCTTTCCCCCTTTCGTACAGTAAAACTCCATTATTTCTCTCATTATATCCATGTGTTCTGCTTGGATTCTTCCTCATCAGTGGGCAAGGACCAAATCTTCTTAGTAGAATCTTCAGCGAACTCAGCATTGGGAGGCCCAAATGGAACAGAGGAATTCAAACCATGATCTCAGGAAGAGACAAACAATCAGTAAGGTCCACAAAAATGGAGACAGCCAATCAAAAGTGGCCTAACCTGAGGTATAAAACTTGTTCTAAATCATGTCTCTGTGCACTCCACTCCTTTGTTTAGCCTTCTGTCATTTGTCTCTTCTTTTAATGGCATCCTAATAAATCTTTGCTTTCTTCTACTCTCTGTCTTGGTAAATCCTTTTACCAACCCATGACTCTCCAAAATCCACAGAACTCACTTTTAGCAGCACTCTCAGTAGAAATAGCTACCATCTTCAAGTGCTTACTATATGGCAGGCGTTATGTTCACAGTTTTATGTTTGTTTGGTTGGGGTTTGTTTGTTTCTGGTACTGGAATTTGAACTCAGGGCCTTGAGCTTGCTAGGAAGCAAAACAGGCAGAATAGTCACCATCCTACAAGGGATGATAGGAAGAGTTCCTTAAAGTCTTTGGCCAGTGTGTCTGAAATGCCTGCATTAGGTTTGCAAATAGAGTACATGAATCCAGAGGAAACGTTAGACAATATACTTAAATTGACTGAAAACATGCTATTTATTGCTTTGTAGGCAGCACGGAATTTTCTCAGCAACTCCATGATGCTCATCATTATGTAGATGAGGAAACTGAGGCACGAAGCTCAATGCTTTGCCCTTGTTCCCCCACTAGTAGGTGGTGGACCCAAGCTATGAACCCCAGCAACCTGGCTCGACTCTTCACCACTCTAAGGCAGAGGTGTGACCAGCCCGTGACTGAGCTCAGCAGAAGTGCTACCTCTTGGCTTTTGCTGCACAAGGGAGACTGCTCTGATAGGAGAATCTTTGCTTAGACCTCCCCATTGGCCTGGCTGGTAGGATCTCTGGCTCCTGCAACTGGGAGCTCTCCTTTACCAATGTCTCTCCTTCCTCCCTCCCTTCCTCTCTCATAGGGTTCATTCAGGTCTGCTGCCCCACCACTCCTGCTCCCTCTCTCCTTTGTCCTTTACAGACAGGTGTCCCCAACAAATCTCCTGCATGTCTGTTCTCTCTTGGCACTTGCTTCTCAGGGGACTCAAGCTGACACAATGAGAAACTAAAAGAAGTGTTTTGTTTTGCTTGCTTGTTTTTGAGGCAGGATCTTGCTATGTAGCCCAGCCTGGCCTGGAACTTGCATTTATTCCTCAGCCTCCCAAGTGCCAGAATTATAGGTACAGGTGTGCACCACCACACATAGCTCATCTTGTTTTGACTGTAATCTATTTAAGATTAAATGTGCATAAAACACTGTCAGGAAACCATTCAGGGTGTCCTATAATCTCCAATTTGTATTTATTTTTCTTACTAGAAAACCAGTACACCACTTACAAAAGTACACACAATCCAAAACGGGAAAATCTTAGAGGGTAGAAGAAAGGTTTTTTTGGTTTTTTTCCCCTCCCCTACCTAGGGGTTCTGCACAGATATACCTTAGAACATCATGATGTAGCAAACAGGAGCTCCCAGCTTCTATAGGACTCCCCAAGTCTGGAAGTAAAGCCAATCCAGCTCGCCCAGGTGCTTTTCCAGCTGCCATGATGTGTGCTCCATGGCTCCTCACTGAAGACCTCGTTGTGATGAAGTGGGTGGGATGGCTGTAAACAACATTGCTTTTCACTGGCCGCTCTGAGCAAGCATTCAGCAAAAGTGAATTGGGGGTCAATCTCTAGCGTTGCCCAGTGATAAGCTGCAGCACGCAGGTGAATTAGACGACCAAGTGTTTGTCATTCATCTCCATCAAGCTGATTGCACACAAATCAGGTTGTTACAGGGACAGGAATGTGGAAGAGGTCACAGCTGCAGTCTTTGGCAGGACCCCAGCTATAACTATTAAACATTGCTATAAAACACAAATTGGTGTTTTTGCTAATCACCTGACAAGAGCAGGGTTCAATGTCTCCTTTGAAAATTAAGGGTCTAAATCAAAACATTGGCCTGGCATGCTGATAATCCCAGCACTAGGGAGGCTGAGGCAGGAGGATCATGAGTTCAAGACCAGCTTGGACTTCATAGTGACTTTCAGGCCAGCCTGGGCTACCTCAAAAAACAAGCCAGGCATGTTGCACATACCAATAATCCCATCTTCATGGGAGATGAAAGCAGGAGGATCCCAAATTTGAAGCCAGCCCATGTAAAGTTATGGAGATCCTATCTCAAAAACAAAATACAAAAAAAAGAGCTGGGGACATGGTTCAAGTGATAGAATGCTTGTCTAGCATGCCAGAGACCCTGGATTCAAACCCTAATACTAAAAATCAATGAGCAAACAAATACACGAAATACAATAAGCCATTTGCCTGGATGTGGTGTGAAAGAAGAGAACCCACAAGCACCAGATCTACAAATCTGGGGTCTGTGGAGCAAAGAAGAGAGCAGGAGCAGGCCTCTGCTAATCCGTCACTGCCGGGCACTGACCAGTCAACCGTTGTCTCATTATTACCCTGTTGTTGATCTAAGCCACAGCACAGCGACAGCAAGTGGCCTGGGCCACCCCTTCTAAGGAGCAGGGCTAGCATCCCAGCCATGCTCGTTCTCATTCATTCATTTGAATGACGAGCTCGGGCACTCTAAGTGAAGATGTGGCTGTGGTTGAGCTGCTGCCTTGAATCTCAGGTCCGAAGTCACCTAGAAAACTTTGACCGAACTTGAGAAAAGCAAATTGGGTTTAATGCAAGTGGAATGCAAAGTGGGGAAGGCAAGTGGACGGCTGATAACCCATCAATCCCACTGCCTGCAGGCCCTGTGTTCCTGAACAGAGAGAATTAGAATGGAGGAGTATTTTTCACAGTACATCATCCTCACGAGAACCAAGGTTGTTCTTAATCTACCTTCCTACTTCAGCAATGTAATACTGAGATCCCCTTTTCCGTAAGGAGGGGAGTAGGTGAAGGAGGGAGTTTAATTAGACCTACTCCCCTCCTGTGTTTGCAGGGCATTTTCTTTCTTGTCTTCTTCAGAGCGAGGGATCTCAGAGAAGGAAACAGCAGGCACCCGGTGGCAGGGTGGCCTTGCTATTCCCTTCTGATTCCCATTTAGCTCTGTCCAGGGACACTGGACTGGGCGACATCTGCCCTTCTCAAAGCATATGCAAGGGAATTAGCTGCCTGGAAAAGAAGGAGCAGAGATGTGATTGCAGCAAATAGTAACAATATCAGCCACTAGCTCCTCTAAAGTACTTTGCATTTTATTAGATTCCCACACAGTCCTGAGAGCAAGTTGCCATACACCCCTGTTACGGCTGAGGAAACTTACGTCCAGCCCCTATGTCTCTCTTCTTGCTGAAGATCACTCTGTTAGTATGTGCTGGAGCTAGGGCTTGAATTAAAACACATGGAATTGTGCTGCTCACGACTGGAGATTTGCTGGTATAACATGAACAAAAGGATACAAGTGATACTCAGGACCTAAGACTGAATTAAGCAACTAGTTGCTCCACAGTCATTGATTCTCATGACCTGCACAAGCTCGTCCTAGGAACCTAACTGGGAGCCACGGGAAATTGAGAAAGGACAAAAGACAAACATGCAAAAGGCTGGGGTCAGATGGGCTGGGCGCTCTGGTGGAGACACACAACAGCCTCGTCCACCTCCAGCGAGTGTATAATATACAGCAGCAAACAAGGAAGTGGGATAGCAAAGTCAGCAGAGCAACAGCTCTTGGGGTAGCATGGCCTTGAAGTTATCAGGAACAGGGGGACCTGTGATCGCTGCTTTCAGCATGTACTTGCACTGTTCCTGTCTGAAGGTCATTGTGTAAACAACCTTGTGCTGCATTTTGCTCTCGCTCCCTCTGCAGCTGGGGCTGTGCCCATCCCAGCCTGCAGATTATTTGACGTGGCTATGCTCATGTCAAGTTCTCATAGGCTTCTCATACTCTGCTGTCCACAATTGGCAATGTAGGAAATAGTTAATAGTTGCATAGCTCAAAAACTCATGGGCCAAAATAGGAAGAAGCCATGGTGGACAAACATTCACTGATGCAAGTGGGTTTTTGCTTGTGTCTTAGTCATGCTGTAGTGCTATCACACGATGCCACTGACAGGGTAGTTTTTAGAGGACAGAAATTTATTCCTCACCGTTCTGGAGGCTGGGATGCTCACGATCAAGGTGCTGGCATCTGGTGGGGGCCACTGTGTGTTCTCAAGATGGTGCCTTAAACATTGAATGTCCTGGAGGAGAGGGATGCGGTGTTCTCCCATGGAGGGACAGAAGCGCAAGGATGGGTGAACTTCCTCTTGCAAACCCTTCCTCCCTTGCACCACTGTTTAGGAAGTGGGGAATGGAGAGGTATGGAAGGAGGCACACAACAGACAAATGCTGAGCCCTTACACAAAGCTCACACAGAGCAGAATTCTCAGAATCAGACCTTCAGGTGTGAAGGGGCAAGGATGTCTCTCCTCCTTCCAGCACTCAGCACCTGAGCCCTTACCCTGTGCCTTGCTGAGGCTACTCCCTGCGTCTGTCACTGCCCTCAGCCAGTTCTTCCTTCAGCCCCACTGACATCTGTCTAGGTCTTGAGTATCTGAGGTGCATCCAGTCCACACACAGCCTTCCAGAGGGAAGACTGCAGTGTCTGCCCCTCCCAGCAACCCCACAATTTTACTTTTCTAGACTGAGTAAGGAGGTTCCTTCAACAGTTCCCACACAGCAAGTTATTACATCCTTTCTCCATTTTTCTTGTTCTTTCTTACTGCCCTCTGAACATGTTCATTTATTTCTCCTAAAACACAGCTTTGTGCTTTGCATCCTGTCTCCTCCTGTGCACTAGTGAGAACTCCTTCAGGCATGGGGACTGTAACAGTGAGGAAGAGTGTCACAGGGATTATGCAAGGAGTTTAACACATGTCCCCTCTTATTCTTCTGAAAATGAGATCATTATCTGCATTCTGCAGTTCCCCAAAAATGAGGTTCAGGGAGATGATATCACCAGGCTAAAGTCAAGGAAGTGATGTGAATCCACTCTGACCCCGGACCAGCACACGGCTGTGTCAAAATGCCAGCACTGTGTCTTAGGACTCTTTGGGTTAGTTTCAAAGCACACTTTCAGGGCTGGGAATGTAGCTCAGTAGTAGATTGCTTGCCTAGTGTGCATAGGGCTTTGGATTCAGTCCCAGCATCCCCTCCTCACCTTAAAAAAAGTGCACCCCCCCTTTCAAAAACTACAGCCTTTTTTGTATAAGTGCTCTTTTGCTGTTCCTGGTATGCTGGTGGGCCTTGGTGCTCTCTGGCTTCCAAGAACCTATTAAGTGTGTGCTGTCATTGTGTGTTTCATGAGCTTTTCCAGTGACCAGCTCAGGAGATAATGGAAGGATGGGTGTATTTGTATCCATCCAGTTGATGCTGTGTCTGCCAGCCTTCGGTAATTCTCAAGTGGAAGGGATGTTCCTTCCCTTTGACTTAGATGGTCTCAGACCACTCTCTTTTGCCTTCAGCCAGGCTGCAGCATAACCTCCAGTCTGCTCTGGATTGGAGCCACATTGCTGCCGGGGACAAGACAGTCAGGAGGCACTCACAGTCTGCTTCTTCCTCATCTTGTTCTCAGTGCAGTTTCCATCAACTCTGTCATGTTCCTTTGAGGCACTCACTCTTGGATCATCTGTCTAAAGAATATTTTATACCTTAATTGCTAGCACATTCTCTTTCACAATTGTATGAGCATTCCTTTCTTCCCAAATTGAGAGATTTCTTCCTCAAGAAAAGAGAGAAGAAAGGGAGAAGGAAGGAGACAGAGAGAGAACCACCACTCACTGAATGCCTATGTTTTTTGCAGGTATAAAACCATTTAAATCCCTATAGAAATTAATGTCTCCAAGGCACACACAGAGGAAGAACTGGCAGCATTGCCCAAAGTTGAGGTTTTGGTGAAAGGGAGGGATGAGGGTTCCATTTTGGAAATATTTGCTGAACTTAAGGTGCTTGTGGGCTTTTGGAGATGCTCAGCAGAAAACTGGAAATAAAGAGCAGAGCCCTGGGTCAGAGACACAGAGATGATTGGCAGAAAGCTTGTACCTCTGTTTTCTGAAAACGTTTACCCAGATAGAGGAAATATCTATTTCCACCCAAACTATGCAACCCACAAGTCCCCACGTTGCAGAGGTTTCAAAACCCAAGGGGCTGATGTCATTATTCTGTGAGGGTCTTGCTCAGAATGTTATGGGGAGGAGGCTGAGGACAGCAGCTGGGAAGGGCTGAAGTGGAGGAGACTGTGAAATGGAAGAGGATGGAAAGTCAACATTATCAATGCCCTCACACAGAGTGTCCACGTAGGCCACTGTCAAAAGTCGAGGCCACAAGTTCTCAATTGTTGGTAACATGTAAGTTTGGGGTTGGGGTATGTGGCAAGCATTTTTCTGTTCTCCTGTCCTACCTGTCTGAGCCTGACTTTGGGAAAACTGCCCAGACCTCTTTAGTACAGTGCTGTTCAAATCCTCTGAGTTTACAACAGTAACATTCAGTGTGTAGGGGAGACCAGAAAAGAAATAGACTCTCAAAGAATAAAATGAACATCCAAATCAACAAGTGATTGCTTGTATAAATTACATTACATTGCACCAGTTGTGAGTTGTCTGTAAAAACTGAAGGTTCTGGTTCCAAACCAAACAAGGACATTGTCTTAGCCTGTGTTTGTGACGCTATGATGCAATCTCCCAGACTGGGTAATTTATAAAGTTTGTTTGCCTCACAGTTTCGGAGGTCGAGAAGTCCAATATCACAGTGCTGGCATGTGGCGAGGCCTCTCATTGTGCATCACCCACAGCTGAAGTCAGAAGGACAAAGTGTGGGAGAGCAGGCATGGGAGGGAGCCAGACTTGCTTTATAACAAGTCCACTGTCAAATTGCTAACCTCCTCCTGAGACAGTGACAGTAAAACATGCTGGAGGGCAGAGCCCTGTGATCCACTCACCTCTTATTAGGACCTATCCCCCAACACTGTGCATCAGGGATTAATCTTCCAATACATGAACTTTGTGGAACACAGTCAAACCACTGCAGACAAGTAAAAGGAGTACAGAAGAAATAGACATCAGAGCCTTTGCGAGCAATACTGGAATGTTGAGGTAAATGGAGCCAAACTTTTAACTTATAAGAGAATTTATAGGAAAACTATCAACTAAGCATGTTCAGGTGGAGGGAGAGAGGTAGTGACACTTGTCACCCTTTACTGTTCTGACTGAAAGATTTTGGAAAAGAGAAATTCTAATTGTCATGCAATGAAAATTTTTTTGAAATAACAGTAAGCAAATGAAGAAATGACAAGAACAAAAGACAATCAGAAATCTAAGAAAAACATCAAGAAATTGATTCATAGAATTGGCATTTCAAATTCTTTGATCCACACACAGAGGAAAGACCACATGCAGACACTGAGAGAAAATGGCCCTCTACAAGACAAGGCTAGAGGCCTCGGAAGAGACCAGCCCTGCCAACACCTTGGCTCAGCTTTTAGCCTCCAGTGAGAAAAGACATTGCTGCTGTATAAGGAAAAAAGAATTCTCTGATCTCTAAAATCTTTTCACTTAATCAATTTAACTGGTTTGTTTTGCTGTTATGAATTCTGCTTCTGATACCATGCTTAGAAAGGGAGGCTGAGGCAGAAGGATGCAGAATTGAGCCCAGCCTGGGGTACATCAGGAGATCCTATCTCAAAAATAAACAAATAGAAGAAAATGAAAAAGAAGCAAATAAAAAACTATAACCCAACAGAAGGGTTATCCCAGCTCAATATTATGCACACATTTACTTTGATTTTTCTCTCCTACATTTTTTCCCTTCTAATTCTAAACCACATGACATTTATGCTGAACTTGTGGAGTTAACTGAGGGGGAACAGCCTGGGCTGGCACGGTGACCTGTAAGCATCTACATAGACCCCACAGGTGTTCAAGACTTGAGCTGCAGGTCACCTGCATCTTAGCAGAATGCTTGCTACCCTCCTTGCATGAGAGTACAGGGAGCTTGTGAGGACAGGCTACAAGGGCACTTCTTACTGGCTTGCTGTCACCTCCTGGTTCTGTCTGGTGAGGCTCTCTGCCTCACTGCCCTTAGGATGCAACTGTAGCTGTAACCTTAGCTTTCTGGTGACCATGGCTGCCTGAGGGTGTCCAGTCATTGGTGGTTCTTCATCTGGTCTGTTTTCCCTGTTGCCAGGCTCCAGGACCACAGAAGGCCACACCTTTGGCTACTTCCCTGTGTTGTTGTTTCTGAATGGACTAGATCAACCAGCATTGCCTGGCCTCGCGCTCAATGGTAGCCATGTATTTTCTACTAATAGTTAGCAAATTTTCCTGATACTACTGAATACTTTATTCCCTTATCATTTTTCTCCATTTTTTTCTTTTTAAAACATTTCTTACACACAAAATTATTTTGTGCTTTTTGCATTTATTTTCAGACTTTGTGTGATAATCCATTTCCCCCCATCTGTCTACTCTGGTCCCAGAATCACACGAATTTTGTGTGTTTATAGTTCATTTTAATATTGTAAGGAAATCCCTCTCTTTATTCTTGCTTACCAGGTTTTTTTCCCTGGATGCACTTAAACTTTATTATAATGGAAAATTTAAAAGTAATTTAATTCAATTATCAATTTTAAAAATATGAATCCACTGGAATTTCATAATCTCTTTATGCCACTGAGTCCTCTGCCCAGGAGCTCTTCCTCAGCATGTATAAATGTCTTTCTTAATGCTCCACGTCAGCGTTTTCTTTCAATACTTTGCACATTTCTTGTAATGACTGAGTTTTACATTTCCTGAACATTTCATGCATGGGGTCATCTTTGCGCTGTGTTTCATACACAGTGATCATTTACTGAAGAGGTTAAGCAGGGGAACAGCAAGGTGGAAGCTCTACCCAGGACAGTGGGGAGCTGGCCAGGTGGGAGGCAGGGAACCTGATAAGGAGCAAATTTTTGCCCCCTCTGTCTGTCATCCTGGTTTTCTTTCTCACTAGTAGTGTTTTCCCTTCCTTGTGGTTTCTTTGGAGTAAATGCTTTCAGAGTGATTCAATTCTCAGTTCCGAGTTAGCATAACTTCTGCAAGGAGGCAGGTGGTGAGGACATCTCAAGACAACTTATCCAATTCGTCTTCTCAGAAGGAGGGCTCTCCCCAACTGAGGCTGTAGCACATACCTGAATGTCTAGGAAGCTGCTTCCAATTAGCCCAGGACCTTCAGCAGCCTCTTCTCCCTTCTTTGTCAAAAGGGAGGCTGTTATAAATTAAGGTGGAATGAAAAACTCACCCTGGAGAAGAAACCTGGCAGATGCCTCTCAAGAGTGAGGACACAATGCATATCTTCCTCCTCCTCTTCTCTTCTACAGTGCCTCTGAGAGCTGGGCCAAGAGAGAACAGGACCTTTTAAAAAATGAAATGAAAAACTCCTGAAAAAAAAAAAAGCCTTCCCTATAGAAAGTCTTCAGGAGCCAGGCTGTCCATTGGGGGTCATGGAAACTCTGGGAAAGGAGCTAGTGACAGGTCCACACCACCATTACAATAACAGGAGGAACACAAACACGACTCCAGCAAATGCTGGATGCCAGATGACAACACCGAGGAGCATTCCAGGTTTTCTTTGCTCCAAGCTTGTCCTTGAAGAGGTCTGGGCCATTATTGCAGCCCATCTGAAATCTCCCCATTTCGTCCTCCCCACCTTTTCCTCCCCAGAAGTGGTTCAGTGCATTTAGTCTTAAGACAGAACAAGCCCTTCCCTGTTCCCTGGGTGGGAACAGCAGAACCCAGCAGGAAACTGACCCATCAGGGCCTGCTCCTGGCAGGACACCCCAGGCCTCTGCTTTGGTGGGTTCAGCCTCTCCACCTGTGCCTGGGTGGGTGCTTGACCCTCCCTGGGGCTGGGCAGAGGGAGCTTGCCAGGAAGGAGGACCTCATCCAAACCAAGGCTCCAAGCTTCTTTTCTGTAACACACACGTTCAAAGACGCAGCAATTAACAATTTCAGGACTCCAGTGGCTGAGCATTACACCCCAGGGTGTAGCCCTTCTGAGCCTTGAGCCTGAGACGGCACTAGGGACAGGAAGCTGGCTAAGATACTCAGTTAAAACTTTCCTCATTGAGAGGAGGCAAGGGAATAATTAACCACTACCTTCCAAAACCTCCAACAGTTCTATGAACTAGACACTTACTTATCTTACCTTCAATCTTCAGCTTTGTGGGAAGTGCTTTACTGTTGCTGTACAAAGGAGGAAAGTGAGACTTGGAGACAGAAATAGGGCCATAAAGTCAGAAAGTGGCAGAGCAAATGAACATAGCTGTTTGCATCTTGTTAACTGCAAACGCAAAAAGAAGGCACAGGTTGGGGATTTAGCTCAGTGGAAGAGCGCTTGCCTGGCAAGTGTAAGGCCCTGAGTTCGGTCTTCAGCACCGGAAAAAAAAAAAAAAAGCAAAAAGAAGGCACAACCAAGAGGTAAGAACAGAGAAAGATTTTTACCTGCAAGGGAAGAGAAGGGCAATGCCCTCTCCTAGCAGAGGAAGCATGGGGATTTCGAGAACATCCCTTTAGGGGCCAGCAAATTGCTGAGAAGGCTCAACTTAAGGAGTGCATCCTAAGTGAGCCCAGTTCAAGGTCATAGTTCAAGAAGTGGCAGGCTCAGCTCAGGGTTAAAATGGTGGACTGGAGAGCTTGAGAGCACTGTTTGCATCATAAAGATGGCAGATCGGAAGGTCTCTGGGTATACTCAGGTTTCTAAAAAGTTTTAGCTGAAACAAAAGGAAAGGATAATTTGAAGGCACCTTAATATAGGAGCTCAGCCCTAAAGGTGCCTGCCTTCCTAACAGTAGGAGTAACATTCAATCTGGATTCCTTGGCTCCTGTTATGTGGGAAGAATGGTTTGAAGATGGTTTGCCCCCTTACCTTCTGAACTGTAGGAGTTTAATCCCCAATCTTATGTTAATTGTAATAAAGAAAAGTAGTCCAACTATGGTGCTTCGCGAGCTGGGACTTATAGGAAGTGATTAGATTAGATTATTAGGCTGGAGATTCAGGGTTGAATCCTGATGGCTTTAGAAGAACACATGCTTGCACATACACACATGCACGCATGCACAAGCACTGACATGTGCATGCACGTTTGCTCCCTCTCTTGCCATGTGTTTGCCTGGGACTCTGCAAGCAAGAAGGCCATCTGCCACAAAGTGATGCAACCTATGGTGGGAAGGGCCCTCTTCAGAGCCCACGAAATGCTGTTTGGACTTTCAGCTTCCATCTGTGAGGTAAATAAATTTCTTCATAAGTAGTCTGCTTCAGGCATTTTGTTATAGGAACAAAGTTAACTAATGTAGTTCCTTTGGTCTTTCTACCCTGTAATGTTTCATCCAAGATAGCAAACATCCAACCCAAGCCGTCCTTATTTGCTGTATGTCCAACATGGTGTTAAATCTTGTGCAGAAGGAGTACTAGTTCGTAGAAGTGCCCAGCTGTGTCTCTACTACTTCCCATGCATGTGTCCTCCGAGGTAATCAACAAATGCTAGTTCCAAAGTTTTATATATTGATCTGCAACTTTCCTTGGTTTGCAACTAATGGATGAGTTTGCAAATTACTAACTCATTCAAGAGAAACATGGCCTGTCAGCAGCCAGAATATGAATGAGTACTACATGCTTTGCCAGAAATGCTAACAGATCCTGCCTTGGGCAAAAAGAAAATAAAGAGCCAGGCACTGTGACTCATGCTTGTAATCAAAGCAATGTGAGAAGACTGAGAGGACAGAGGTTTGAGACTCGCAAAAAGTTTGTGAGTCTCCACCTGAACCAATGGGCAGCTACACAGACACAAAAGGATTGTGGTGCAGGCTGGCTGGGTATAAAGCAAGGGGCTATCTCAAACTAAACAATGTGAAAAGGGCTGGGAGTGTGGTTCAAATGGTAGAGCACCTACCTAGCAAGCATGCAGCTCGGAGTTCAACCCCCAGTAATGCCAAGAAAAACGACATAAGAAATGTCTGCAGGAGAAACACCCACCTGCCTGTGTGCTTGCTGACACTTTTCCACACCAACGTGGGGTCCAAAATGGAACACCCTTAATCCTCCATCACCCCTCAGTGGAAGAATTATGAACTGAATGTCCTTAAATCAATGTGGGAGAAGCAGAAGGAAAAACTTAATGCATAAACAAACACAACACATAAAAGGTAATCTTCCTTTTGAAGAGTATACAACATCTTATAAGCTGTGTGAGTTCCAACAAAAAGTTGGGGACACAGATTTGGTTATTTAGATTAAAATATTTATTGTAAGCAGATTCCTTTTTCTGTATTAATAAGAAAAGATACAACTGGAAACATTCAGAGACTGGAAACTGTGGAACCTGTTCTCAAGTCCACCATCAAATACGGTATCACTAAAGGAAGACAAGTTACAACTTAAAATTAGGGGAACCTATACACGATTTATACGGGGGGGAAAGAAAAAAACAACAGAAGTCCAAGTGAACCTTACTACTTCAGTCTTTAGTTAGGCACATAAAACTGTACTACTTAATATACTTTTCCATGAACTTTTTGTGAAACTCAGATCGCAGTGTGTCATTCACAAATCTTTTGTCTTTCTTCTGGTCATCCACACCTTTTGCACAGTTCTTGAAGACAACGTCATCATCCCACCTAAAGGGAAAAAAGGAGACAAGAATATCACGCGCCTTGCAAAACCGCTGCTACAGAGAAAGGGGCTAACATACACACCACTTGACACAGCGAAGAAAAAGTAACGTGTGAGGCACAATGCTTTATTACAGCAGGAGGGACAATTCCTACTTAGAACATACGAAACATTGTTACCATTTCTCCATAAGAGGAACTGAGTTACAAAGCAAAAGTACATAGATTTTAATTACTTAAAATCTATTTTTTAAACAGATGAAACAGTGTGCTGTTTCATCCCCAGCACACTGAATAGTAGACAGTGACCAGTCAGCTTACTATGGTTGAGACCAGAGAGTTTGAGGATTTTATACATTCCTCTTTTTGTCAATTAACATTTAGTAGTTATCCAGCATAATGAGGCAACAAAAGAAGAAGGAACTATGGCTTCTGTTGTTTTTTTCAGACAGTCTCACTATGTCGTCCAGGCTGGCCTGGAACTTGCTATGTAGCACAGGCTGCTGTCAACCTAACACCCTCCTGCTTTAGCTAGGATTACAAGTGTGCACCAGCATGCCTGGCTTGAGAAGGACTACTGGAATATAAAAACTGAGGCTCATGTATTGGCCCACATCCATAGTAACCAAAAAGAAAAATCTGCTCAAAAACTCAAGTGTAGAGCTCTGCTTGGATTTCAAAAAGATTAAAAAACACCCATGAGTGGGCTACAAAATACACCCATTACATAAAACAAAGAGCATGACTTCGGAATATTATCTAGTATATAAAACATAAGCCCACACAGGTGACATGCTCTCACAAATGCAAGATTATATAATGTGTTGGTGTATGTTTGCTGGGAAAAACTGCACATAGAAAATAAGCAAAGAATGTGGGCACTTTTGGAAAAAGTTAAATTCATCACTGATGCAGTTCACAAAATGTGAAGGGCTGAGCAGAGCAGTATGACCAGAACATTTCTTTGCACTTGCATCCAAAAAGGGCAGAATAGACTTCACAGTGCAATATTCATAAATACACAATCGATAGCTTTTTTATATCCACTATCTCAACTCACTTTCAATGGGCTTTTGTTCCAACACCCAACTGCTCCTCCATGCTGCTATGCTGGTCCCTGCTATCCATATTTGACCCAGCTAACCTTTGGCCTAGCTGACCACTCCACCCTTGAAATGCTGCTTGCTTGGCTTTCCACATACCAATCATTTGCTTTTCTGCTCCTTCTAACTTGTTTCTTTTCATTCAAACAACTTTTAAGCATCTACTATATACCAGACACTGCCCCAAGTATTTGTAACTAATCATCAATCCATCCTCTGTATATACCAGGCTCAGTCCTTTGACTTCTAACTATAATCTTACAGTGTCACAGTTCCCAAGTGCATTATCTCCAGTGTGAACTGACTGCAGACACATATCGAGCTACCTACTCAGAGATATGTAGAACAACCCAAAAAACCTTGTCTTAAACCTGCTACTGCTATTCCCTCCCCATCCTAGCCTTTTAGCTGCTCAGGTTAAATGCCTTGGAGTCTGTTCTCTACAGCAAACTTTCCCCTGCCTCTGCATGGAATGGGGCTGCAAGGTAGATTTAATTTGCAGGTCACTGTAAAGACTGTTTTTACTGTGAATGAGTTAAGGAGGTACTGACGGTTTAGAACAAGAAACTGCTGACTTTATAGTTTGAAAGCATCAAGCTACTACGCTGAGAAAGACACTGGGAGTGACGATGGAGAGGGTGGAGGGTGGTGAGCGAGAGAGCAGCCAGGGCACCGCACTGCCCCTGATTCGAGAGTGAGAGGTGGTCAGGAAGCAGGGGCACAGTTTACACTAAGACAGCAGGGTTCCTTGACAACCTTATGCAGAATAACCAGCCTTCTCACAATTCAGCACCTACCATAAGCTTTCATTTTACTTTTGTACACATCACCGTGTTCCTAGTCACAATATATTTACTATTTTCACTCTCTCCCTCTTCAGCCTTCTTCATCACTTATCACTCAAATGCACACAATACACTGCTATCCTCACGCTTGCTTGCAAGGTTGGCCTCTGGCTGGCAGCAGAAGCCTGTGTTTTCAGGCAATGTTTCAGACTTCCTCTTGGTCCTTGTGCCTAGCATGTGTAAATATCGTGGTTTACTGCAAACTACTCCTTCCCTCTGTGGAGTATGGACTTGATATATGCTTGGCAGAAGCTGCCCACATGACCAGCCCTCAGTACAAGCCTAACACTGCCCACATTTTGCTGCATTATCACTCAATTGTGTGACCCCTTGTAGAAGGGACAGAACAAAGCCTACATGCAGACTCCTCCAGTTCTTCCTTGTCTTCTCCTGTGATCTGGCTGTGTTCACTATGTTAGGGATGAATACAACCATAGGCTGAGTCCCCTGAATCCTAAAGACTGTGTGAATGTGAGGGTGGTCTTGGGGACCCTCGAAACTTGCACCTAACATGGGAGCTTTGTAGGGTCAAGGGTTCAGTTCATTGCTCTGTCCTTAACATTTAGATCACTCCTGGGTACACAGCTGCTTATTATGAATATCTATTGAAACTGAGTGCATTCTCTTTCATTTTCCTGCCTCCATTACTCTAAAATCTGATAGAGAAGGATGTCAGTAGAAGGTAGGGTTTCAGAAGCTTTCCATAAAGTACTTTGCTGGACAACTCAAAATCTGCTCATATAAATGTAACCCATTTCTTCTAGTACCTTCTTTTCACTTTGAAGTTGGCCTGAGGCTGGGCTGGGCCAGTGAGGTTAAGGAGCGGGTTTCCACTCAGGATGTTCTCCATACGGATCCTCTCTTCTTCTGCTTTTTGTTCCTGTTCCTGTCACAACAGAGGAAGACGCACTTACTTAAACTAACCTGCGTTAAGCTTCCATTAACTTCAGGTCATGAGGAAAAAAGATAAAATCAAGATAGTATTCTTTCTTTTTCTCTCTTCCTCCCATTATTCTTTCTTTCCTTTGTTCTTTTATGATTAAGATGCACCAGAAAAGTATAACAAATCAAAATAAAATACCTTGGCATTTTAACAAAAATCTTTCATGCTTGCCAGCAGTCCTTAATCTTTCTTAACAGAAAAGATGTGATACATATTTAAATGTTTTCTTTTGAAGTCCACACAAAATTACTATTTTAAGTTTTAAGAGAATACATCAATAAAATTCTTATATTTACAATCTAAGAACATATTAAAAATCAAAAAGACATGTTTAGCAAAGCTATTGTCCTACCTTTTAAAGGACCATACACAAATTTTGTTAACGGTAATTTAATTTTGCATTACTAATAATGTAAGCTTTTATCTCTAGGATTGATAAAATTATTAACTAAGACATAACTCCTAAAATCTGACAAAATATTGTGTAAACCAATTATATTCCATGAACACGCAAAGAATAAACATTTTGTTACAATGTGCTGTTACTTTCTATTATCCTTCATCAGCTATGATGTTGTCATTCTTTATAGGTTTTCTTTTTAGAGATTCTAAGTAGCCCAAACAGGCTTCAAACTTCTGATCCTCCTGAGTGCTACTGGGATTACAGGCATGTACCACCACACCTGGTCTACTTCTTCACTTTAATTTTGGCATGAATCACTCTTAGTTTCACTCTCTGAATTAGAAACATTAAACACCTAAAATCCCTAACCACGACTTTTAGATCTGCTTGATTGCATGCTATCTTAAGCCAAGTAAAAATTTCATTTTACTATGTTCTGAGAATGACAGAAATGGATGATTTAATAGGTCAAGGAAAAAGAAACTGACCAGAAGTATTTTCCACTCAGGTTCCTGACACTTCAATACGCAAATGTGAACAATGGATTTCCTTTATCAAGGCAGATAACTGGGAAGTGAGGGAGATAAAACAGGAAAATCCCTTTAGGGGACTGCTCAGACCTTAAGCAAACAAAGTCAGGAACTATTTCTCAAAGATTAATAGGTAGCTTTCTAAAAACTATATATACTTAGTTTTAAAATATCATACTGATGCTTAAAGTGAAAAGACATTTTTCCAAGATTCCAGAAAATAAGCAGCTCCAGAATACAATGTATCCAACCTTACAATAATAATGTGTGAAACATACAAGGTCCTGATCTTTTTATATTTGGAATATTATTTCCTTTAGAGTTACTTGATGGCCACATACACCACTAGGGCAAAAGGAACCACCTCTTTTCATACTCAAATACCAAAAACATAGAGGTCTGCAGCCCATGGGTCAGATGTAAACTACACCCATCCCTCAGTTTCAGAGAATAAAATTTTGCTGGAGTATAGTCACACCTTTTCATTTATATACTACCTACAGCTATTTTTGCCCTGTAACAACAGCTGAGTAGCTGCAACAGAGTTGACCAGCCAGCCAAAAATATTTACTACTTGTGTGCTGACCCCTGATATAGGCTACTTAGTTTGAAAATGTTACTTTAGGATGCCTCAAAAAACAACTAAGGGCTGGTGATACAGCTCAATGGTAGAGTGCTTGCCTACCATTCCCAAGGTCCTGAGTTCAATCCCTAGCACTGTAAAACAAAAACAAAAATTAGGGACCAAAAAAATTAAACTCATGCAATTTTAAGACATACCAGCATATTTCTGTACAAAGATTAAATGAAAACCTCATAATGCAAGACCTCATGTCTAAAAAGTTTACTGCCTAAAAGATCAACCAGAAGTATTTAAATTTCTTGTCTCTGTTTGTACAAAGAGAGGTTAGGCAAGCTCAAAGAATTTGGAACAACTGCCCTCTACTGGCATGTACTACAGGGACTGCTCTTGGTAGTTGTTTTTATAAATTCAGATATAAGAACTGTAAGCTATGACAGGAGTCACGCTCCCCTGTGCCAAACTCTGATGAGGACTGTGCTTGACAGCACTTTTCTCCTATCTGAATTCTAATTCTTTAAAGTCTTTTCTCATATTGTACTTCCCAGACCCTCTGACTCACATGAACTCTACTTCCCTAGATTCTTAGCATTAACCTTTTTCAGTCTTTCCCCAAAGACTCCTTCCTTATTTCCTTTTAAAAACAGAACAATTCTTGTCTCAATTGAAATTTTACACCAAAGTCCATAAAATAAAAAAGCTGTGCTGCTCTGGTTAAAAATGTTATCTCCATCTGAATGTTTTTCATTGTGTCATATTCCACGTTTGAACAGCATTCATTCTCTCTCTCTGCCTAAGCAGGCCTATTCTTCTGCTTCCATGTACCAGTGCACCAGTATCTATCAGAAACTGGGAGTCCTCTTTGCTCCCACAACCAATCAGCTAACTTATCTGGTCATCCCACCTCCTTCACATCTCTATCAGCACCTATTTACTTCTCTCAATTCCAACTCCTACCCAGCAAATTAAAAGATTACATTAGTGCACAGAAGGATTACTGAAATAGCCTAACTCGTCCAAACCATCATCCCTATTTTTGCCAGAGTAATCTTTCTAAAATGTAAAAGCAATCTTATCAATCTCCTGCTGAAATCAATTGGCTCCTCATATCCTTTGGAAAATCCAGATTCCAATGCTTATACCTCTGCTTGCCTCCTGTTTCAATTCTTTGTTCTTTCTAAATTTTATTTTACTTTTTAATTAGCATACAATGATAGTACGAGGGGGTTTCATTGTAATTCCATACATGCCTACTTTGAGCAAATGCATCCCCTCCATCATATTCCCTTACCACCACCCCTCCCTTTTATGCTTGAGACAGAGCCTCATTATGTTGTGCAGACTGGACGGGAACTCACTATGCTGCCCAGCCAAACACAGTCCTGTCTTGGCCTCCCAAGTGCCGGGAGCCATTTTCATCTCCTAATCTTTTGAGTTAGGCCTTCTTTTCTCCCACTGCGTAAGTGGTTAGTTGAAGGTAGGTAACTTGCCCTAGATTCAATAAAATCTATGGACAGAAAGCCTCAAGTATCTAGGCAGGAGATGAGAGAGAGAATCTTTGCAAACTATGACTGTATCTTAATCATCTTTGATCCTTCTGACACTTAATAAACATTGAGTAAATATTTGTTGAACAAAAGAGTAAGTAAATATGAGCAAATTGATGAGTATGATGAGGAGGCTTATAATATTCTGAAAGAAAACAGATTTATGGATGCACTTCTAGTAACTGTTTGAGTTAAAAAAGCATTTCCAATTTAGAATGTGTGAGGATGGGGAGATGCAAACACTTAACACTTTGATTTTACCTTTCTGGCCTGCTCCTCAGCTCTTTCTTTTTTAATCTTTTCCAATTCTGCAAGAAGAGCTGCAGTGTCATCATCATCACTCTCTTCTTCAAAATCTTCATCTTCTTCCTGAAAAAGACCAGTGATGATCCAGAAGAATGGAGAGATAATACACAATGTCCAGCATTTCCCTTAAAAACTATATTTAAGAAATCTCTGGGACAGAATTTTTCCAGTGGGAAAAATAAACATACCTAAATATGATTACAACCAACCAACCAAAAAATAAAATAAACTCCACAAAAAGCTTATGAATACTTACTAAAATGTCAACCTCTTATAAAGAACTTTTCAAATTTACATAGCCAAAAAATTTTGCATATGAAAATATTCCAAAATCAGAAAAGGGATGCTTCATAATGAAATAGTACATATGTACAGAGTATTACCCGAAAGAATAAAAATAATTTTATGTAGCTCAAAACAATTTTAAATAAGTAAAGATAATAAAGGGCACTAAATTCCTAACAATAATTTCAAACAAATACTTAAATGTCACTTAAAATTAGGTTTCCTATTTCAGCGATTATTAAGTCAGATCTAGAATTGCTGACGTGTATGCATCATTACACACTACTCTGTTTTCACTGTTAAATAGAAAACTGAAAGGTAAGACTGTTGGGGTCCCACTGAATTTTAATGTTATTGGAAATGGTAATCCTTAAAACCCTACTGGCATGTCCATTGCATGTCTGATGGGGCACCTATCTAATGAGGAAGAGTGCTCTGTGGAGGTACAACATGGCAAGGTTTAAATAACACAGGGAATTACTCTTCGGGCAACCACGTCCTTTAATGGATTGCTTCTGTATTTGACGCTGTAGAGATTAATCCTGTTCACAAAAGGATACTTTTTGTTTTAAAATCAACTGTAAAGTTTAGGGTTGGATCAATGATACAGTTGAGTAAGAGTAAGTAAAATATAGGTCATTTCTTAAAGCTAAAAGCATAAAAATGTACTTCACAAAAGTATGATAAGCTACTAGAGATGAAACAAGAAAACAGGACATACGTCTGTTAGAGGATCATCTGCATCAAGGTTGGCAGCAGGAATCTGGTCTAACCGAGGCTTCTTTGACACCGAAGAGGAAGTTGTATGTTCTGGGTAAAACCAAACATCATTGAGCTTACTGAAACAAACAGTGCATTTCTTTTTTTGTTTGTCTGCTTTTTGAGTCAGGAACTTGTTACATAGTCCATGCTGGCCTCAAACTTGTACCTCCCAAGTGCTGGGATTACAGGCATGCACCACTATATCTGGTAAACAATGCATTTCTGATCTCAGGCACAAAGAGCCCACTGAGAGCTCCATGACAGCAGAGACTGTGCCCAATAAAGGCAAATGGGCTATTGGCAAATATTAAATGGAATATTAATGCTAGAACTGCGGTCTCTTCGGAAATCCAGGAAAATAGTTTACATATGCTGGAGGCAAAAAAAGACACTAAAAACTGATGCCTCTGGATGCCCTCCAATAGCTGGTTACAAAACTGGGGCCTGGCTGCCATAAAGAGTCAAAAACCCCTTGATGGGAACCGAAATGTACTGTGCTAAATATCCCCAGATCACCCTGTCATTTCAAATACGGAAGCATAAAAGGATGGAACTGGAATGTACCTCTTCCCTTTCTAATCTAATTATTTAAGGACCAGCAGTATAGCTCACAAAAAGAGTTAACCCCTCCCAATTACCACGTGAGAAAAAGCAACAGGCAAGGTAAATCTGAGCAAAGAACATATGCATATACATAAACATCACAATGAAACCCCTTTGTACAATTAATATACACTAATAAAAACCCCAATTACCACATAAAAGAAAGTTAATTTTATGAGACAAATGTTTGACAGTGCTGGTACCTCGAGTTGGACGATCCCTATTTTTTTCTCGTGCAGCAGCTCTCTCTCTCTCTTCCAATTCTCTCCTGAAGTCACGGTTACGAACCTCTTCAGGGGCATCCTGAGTAGTTTGTCTACAGAAGAAACAAACCAGGGCAAAAATGAAAAGCACATGGCTACAGCAGTGAAAGACAATTCACAAATGCGACCTTGTCCCTCAAGCATACAACAAGGAAGAGAACAAGACAATCACCTAATGTAAAGGTTAACAGGAAGTATGATGCCTTCAGTATTTCAAGAAGCCCAAACTCAAATGACATATTCTCCCATAACATGTTGCAGATTGGTTAAAATATCTTTGACTTTTGTTTGTATTGTATCACCTCAAAGTCTTGTGGATAACACTTTTTATCTCATATTGACTGGTGGTGATAGTGCATTGTCCTTCTGAAGTAATTTATTAGCTACCGTTCCATCTACATATGGACATTTCTGGCAACTAGGCATTTCCACTGAAAGAATACCTGGTAGTACTTTATAACCACAGAGCATAATTTTATTGTTAAAACCTTTCTTGCATTCAATTCCCATAGATATTTAAGTGCTATAACTGCAAGATGATCACGTATCACGCTCGTGCTACGTAACAGGTTTCATCTTGTGTTGTGAACAAGGTGAAAGGAAAGTCTTTTTTACCTGTATTTTATCTTTGTGTGAGAGGGAAGGTCTCTGCTTGAATACTGCTTTGAGAGTTGGCTCAAGTCACCTTCTCCTTTTCCTCTCCCACCTCTTGCAGGTTCAAAAGTTGGCCTTGCTGCTGTTGTCATCTTTTATTCTTTGAGGAAAAACGGTTTTATTTCTAACAGAACTCTCACTTTACAAACTGCCCATTAACAGCTATCCTTGTGAAATAATTTCCATTTCTCATTCCCCCAAAGTTGCCTAAACAATCATTTTAAACACAAGTTCCCAAGAAAACAAGATCATTAAGCTCAGGCAGCGCTATTTACTACAAACATTCTGCGGCGAAGACCGGCTTTGTGTTCCCGTCCCGGCTGTGTGCAGCCTCGGGCAGGTCCCTCAGCCTGTGGATCGTCACGATTACTTCGAGACACGACATGGCAAAGCCTCGTGAAACAGTACTGCCGTGAGTTACGCTTGAGGACTTCTCATCTCATTCCACCGCATTCCCTAAGGCTTGCATTTTATCAGACCTCGCACAACAGCCTAACAAAGCTGGGCGAGGGCGCAGGGTTCCCGAGACACCGTCCACCCACCTCGCTGATGCCCTCTTCTTCTCTAACAGCCACCATAAGGCCATCAGACCCTTCGCAAGTTGTAATCTAAGCGTGTCTCAGAACCCGGGGCCTGGCCAGGAGCCGCTGCTGTCGTGGCTCCACACCCGAGCGGCGACAACGCCGGCCACACCTCCCCCTTGCTCCTCCGCACGCAGCGCCCGACCTCCGCCCGGCGCCGGGACTCGCCGCCTTTTTCCGCGGGCCGCGGCCGGCCCGGGCCTCCGCGCGGCGTCCTGGACGACGGTCCCAGAGCGTCGGTCCCCTCCGACCCCAGCTACCCTTCCCAGCCCACCCAGGGAAACGATACACCACTACCCTCCGCCGCTCACTTTAGCCGAGGTCCGACGCAGCAGCAGCCTCGGAGGATCTCACACACACACCATCCCGATCCCGGTTCCCAGAAGCCTCTGCGCCTGGAGCCGAAGCCCAGGACCCGGAAGCGAAACCCGGAGACGCAGGCAATGACCAATCCGCAGAGAGCTTGGTGGAAGTTGACGTGACGTCGGAGGGGGCGTGGTCGAGACTGCCCAGGGGGCGGGCATTTGAAATCAGTGCCTGGGAATAGACCCTAAACATCATTTTATACCTTCGAGAACCAATTACTTAATGTCTCTTCCGTCTTTTCCTTCCCCGACCCCCTCCCAGACTCCTTCACTCCGGTACTGCGCGGACGGAAAGCCCCGGTGGCGGGCGGGAGCGTGGGAAAGGATTACACCCCAGGGTTTGAGCCCAGCGGCTCCTGCTGCGTCGTGCCGCGAGCTAGACCCTAGGCAGCCGGGCTGCGGAGAGACTAGGGTTTTCTTTAAGTGGACATGAAGAAAGAACAAATATGTACGGGGCAGCCACGATCCTTACAAAGGTACCATTCCTGCACAAATACTAGACTTGGAAGCGAAGGTTGTGGGCGTGTTGTTGGTTCAGGCTTTTATTTCGTAAGAAAGCGGTAGGTTCCAGTGGGAGGGAGATGTCAGCAGCGTGGACATGGAGCAAACGGTTGGGACGGCGGGCCCTACTGCCAGAAGCCTCAGCTGGAGTTAAGATGGCTACTCAGGCGTTAGGTGACGTTCCAATGAGACAACCAAAGGAAAAAAAATCCCCATGGCTTCCCCTCCCACCCCTGAAATGAAAAGTACTCTGAGAGCAGGGACTTTTGTGCTCCGTGTGTCTTGGTATGTCATCGCATAGACCGTGATGCATAGTACATGCTCAATAAATAATGGCTAAACAAATGAAGATTGCGCTTCCCCGATTTACTTTCTCATAAGAACCGAACACCGAAATGCTTTACCCCCTAACTTCTTTCTTTGAAACTTGTAAGTGAAGAAAGAAAAGTAGAAAAAGCCCTTTCTCCCCTAAAAGGTCCAGATGAAAAACCTTGGTTTTTCTTAGGGAAAGTATTCCTCCCCCAATCTTACACATCTTAAAGGACCCAGTCATCATACTAGTTACTCAAACAAAAAATCCCAAGGTGCTTTACATTCCTTTTTCTTCACTCTTGCCAAGTCTTTCAAAATTTACCCTAAATTTCATTCCACTGCCACCACTCATCCAAGCCACCATCCTCGCCACTTGAACTGCAATTGCCTCTTATGGATCTTCTTGCTTCTTTTTCCTATAATTGTGCATATGACAGTGAGTGATGTTTCAAAATCATCAATCATGGTGTTGCTTTCCTGCATAGAATTCTTCTGCCCTTAGAATAACTTTTTTTTTTTTTTTACAGTACTGGGGTTTGAACTCAGGGCCTCCACCTTGAGCCACTCAACCAGCCCTATTTTTGTGATGGGTTTTTGCAAGATAGGCTCGCTGGAAGTATTTCCCTGGGCCGGCTTCCAACCGTGATCCTTCTGATCTCTGCCTCCTGAGTATCTAGGATTACAGGCGTGAGCCGCTGACTCCTTGCTCGAATTTCTTAATGACCCGAGGCCCCATGCAGTCTCACTCCTGTCTATCTTCCTGATGTCACTTCCATCAGTCAATTATATACTAAGCTGTAGATGTAGAAAAGTGGGCATTTTTGTTTCACAGAATAAGTCAAGATTCCTTCTGTTTTTGTTTTTTGAGGCAGGGTCTCACCATGGAGCCTGGAGTGGCCTTGAACTTGAAAGACTAGTAAAGTTAATCTTTGCACTAACTTTTGTCACCTCTGCTCCAAGATAAGCGTATTGCCACCCTTCAAGTCTTAGCTTTCTAGAGGCCATCACAGTGAGGTTTCCCTGAAATCTACATTTCAGTGTTTTGCTCCTAAATTCTTTCTTTGAAACTTGTAAATGAAAGAAAAGTAGAAAAAGCTCCTCCTCCACAAAGTTCAAGGTGAAAGCCTTGATTTTTCTTCTAGAAAATATCCCCACCCCCTCTGTTGCACAAACATCATCACATAGCCCTGTTTTAATTTTCATAGTACTGAGCACTACATGGATTTAAAGCTTGTATTGATTTTTTTTTTTTTTTTTTTTGGTGGGAGAGGCAGTATAGCAAAGGCCTGGAGCGAAGGTGATGTAGCCCATCTCAGTGCTAAATTTCAGTGTTGCCCTTTCCTAGCTGTGCAACCTTAGGCAAATTATTTCCCCTTTTTGTACCCTCACTTTCTCATGCAAAAATGAGGGTAGTTTAGTCCCTACCTCCTTATGTGGGGACTACAGTAGTAAGGATAATGTAAATATTTGTAAAGTACCTAGAATGTCTCAGCAAGCAGTAATTACTGTGTGAATGGTAGCCATGTTACTAATATTATTTTTATTATTATTGCCCAGCTTCCTGTATTAGAATGTAAGTTCCAGGAAAGCAGGAACCTTGTCTCTCTTGTCCCCTGATGTATTCTCTGCATATAGAACAGTGCCTGGCACTTAATAGGTACTGAGTAAGTATTTGTTGAATGAATGAATGAATGATGCACTATGAAATAGGAAAGAAGTAGCAGTCGCAAGACAGTGACACAATTATAGAAAATTCACAGTTTTTATGTCCCAGTTGTCTATCCTGAGTGACTTACCTCACTCAGGATAAAAGTTCCTTTTAACTTCTAGCCTATTACCCCAATCTTTTGACCTATAAGTATGATCAGATAAGTTCCCTATAATTTCAATATAACTCAGTAAGTATAGTCAATCAATTCAGAAAATTAAAAGCTTTCTACTAAAATAATTGAAAATATTAATAAGAAAAAAACCTAAAAAGTTTTTTACTTAAGTGACTTGGAAATACTAATAAAAAAATGAAACTATAAAGCCTTTGGCTGTTTGAAAACAATATGAAATAAAGAGACTAAAAGTTGGGAAATTTATTAAAAACTTAAAACTCACCCTGTCAGCCAACCTAGCTGGCAAAAAAAAAACTATTAACTTTTCTGCAATTCTTATTTTAAACTCATCATCACAAAAATCTGTTTGGGCCCTTAATTCTGCCTATCCTTTCATATTGCTCTAATTGTTTCTCCCCTCTGCTGTAATGTTTTCAGCATGCCCCTCTTGACATCCACTTGCCTCTACTGCCTCTCTTTCCCTCTTCATCTTTCTTTAGAGGGAAAGATCTTTTGGCTTCTCTTAAACAAGGGCTGCTCATTTCCCCTCTCAGCATACCTATCGAGTTGCTTTGGCTATGCCCATATAGTTTGCTTTCCATGGTTACTAGAGCTAAGGTGACCCCAACCTCTCCCTTGTGATCTGGGTCCTAATTCCTCTAGCCTTCTTAGTGACTGGCATTCTGCCATAATTTCCTGCCCTCCCACCCCCCTTTTTATTTTGGCAGCACTGGGGATTGAACCCAGGGCCTCTCACTTGCTAGGCAAGTGCTCTACCACTTGAGCCACACCCCCAGTTCTCAGATGATTCTTACCAGCTTTTGAACATGGTGTGATATATTTTAACTTTATAAGTGCTCCTTCATTTTAATATGAAACATAGTATTTTATTTCAATGTGAAAAGGATGCTTTATGTAATAACTGTGATTACAAAACTGACTTTTCTTTTCAGGAAGTAATTATAAATTGCAGCTTCAAGCCTTGGATAAAAACAATAGCCCAAAGTGAAAAAAGAAACCATAAAAACCTAAGATTAAAAAAACTGTAGTATCAAAATGTAGAGTTTGGGAAGATGTTTTCATCAAGACAGACATCTTATAACTTACATGACTTAAAATCATCTACATAAAAATTAATTTGAAGCCAGGCTATGGTAGCACACACCTGTCATCCTAGGACTCAGGTGACTGAGGCAGGAGGATGGCATGTTCCAGGCCAGCCTGGGCTGTGTTACATAGAAAGACCTCATCTTAAAAAGTTAATTTTATAGCAGAAGATGCCCAAAACAAAGCCAATAGCTAAATTCTAGATTAACAGATAAGTATTGTGATGTCTGCAATGTATAATTCCTACTGCTATTAACACACATAATAAAACATTTTAAAAACAATAAAAACAAAGGAGATAAGTCATTCAGAAAAAAAAATTCAAAATCAACAATAGCCAATAAACATGAAAGATCTCAAACTCCCAATGTGGAAAATGAAAGTAACTATCAATGAAATATTACATTAAGCACCAGATTGTCAACAATTTTTAAAAATTTATCCAGTGGAATGGGATTGAGAGAAAAGGACATCCAGTCAGACAGTGGGGAGGCATTGTCTCTCCTGACTCCCACAGTCAAAACCAAACTGTTCACAGTGGCCTCCAAGGTTTTCCATGGCCCGGCCTTCCCCTGCATCTTTGGCTCTCACTTGCTAAGCCTTTGAGGTTTTGTCCTTCCTGGTGTTCTTGGATGCATCGCTGCTGTTGCCTCAAGGCCCTTGCACCTAGAATAGCCTTTCTTATTTGTTTTTGCTCCAATGAGACTAGCCAACTTAAAATTGCAGCTGTTCTTCCCTTCTGCCCGCTAATATCCTGTACTCTATGTCTTCCATACTCTGCTCTTCTTTTTCTTTTTTTACACAGCGCGAATCATCTTCCAGGATTCTATATGATATAGTTACACTATATTTACTGTTTCCTTCTTTACCTCCTTGTCTGCATATAAATTCTACAAAGGCAAGGATCTTTGCTCAGTGGTAGGCAAGCATCTAAAACAATGATTGGCACCAACAGTTGCCCCGTAAAATATTCCACATGAGAATATAAAAGAGTTGAATGGATGGATGGATGGGTGAGTTTTAACAGGAAAAAATAATGCTGTGATGTAAACATTATTGTCTTAATCTGTTTTGTATTTTAAAGGTCAAAAAAGTAATTTACATTCTGCTCATTTCAATCCTGATTTCAAATGAAGATATGGCAAGACCCACAGACATGATTGCTTTTCAGGAGAGAATCTCTAAATGAAAACTCATTCAATAATCAGGCTCTTTATGTAAGCCCTACCCCAAATTCTAAGTCAGCTCTACCCTAACCTAATCACATCTCTAATCCAGTCTCTGTTC